GTCAGTGCGGCAGAGGTCAGCAGTGCAGCCTGCATTCCCATATTGACATATTTATATTAGACTCCTGCGTATATCTTTTTAGATCCTCAGCTCGGCTTTTCTTTCCGACCGCCGAACTGAGCATCAGGGGCTATTGTCTATGCGGTAACATTTTTATATGTTTTGAACACATACCTCAAAGCCTGTTAACAGACTTGTACAGGCTTCTGTCAGCCCGCTCTTGGCGGACTGAACCTTCTGAATCACCGTACCCATAACAGCGTGGTGTTCCTCGTTGATGGAGGCGCCATTAAGCACCTCCAGCAAATTATCCGGCGCCTCCGGATGGACGGAGGTCGCCGGCGTCGTAGGCTTGCCCTTCTTATGAAGGCGCCGCCTGTCGGACTCTGGAACCGTTGATGGTTCCGGAGCAGTGTCCGGCCCAGGGCCGGACTTAGACCCCTCTGGGGCTTTACCCCCTTTGGGCTTGGAGTCTGGGAGGTCGCCTTGAGGCGCCTCCAGGACCACCTCCTCCTGGTTCGGTCCCTTTTGGGACTCCACCTCGGCGCCGTCCGCAGGGAGAGGGGAGGAGGCCGTCGGAAGTGAAGCGTTGTTCACATCTGACGAATTCAGGGAGCCGCTCGACGAATCGCCGAGCTGAGCTCTGGGCGGACTGCATAATTAAAATCGGCGTCAGAAACTACCGAATAATAGAGGAGCGCCATAAGTCGTTCGGGTAACCGGACACTTACGATTTTGCCAGGGGCTTGACCTTGGATGGCCATTCCTCCCCGCCGTCTTCGGCATCGGAGGCGTAGTCTGGCAGAAGGGTCTTCCCCTTCTTGGACCCTCCGGCCTCCCCAGTTGGGGCGGCCTTCCTTTTCTTTCCTCCCCCCATCGGAGTGGGAGAGGCTTCTTCTTCTTCCTCCTCCTCGTCTTCAGAGGCGGAGGGCGCTTCGGGGTTGTTGGGCAATGAATCCGACACCACCAAGCGCCGGGAGCTCTTTCGAGTCCCCGTGGCCTTCTTCTTGGCCTTCTTCTCCGGCACCACGTGAGGTGCCGGAACCAGCAGCCCCGTCAATTGGGCGTCCGCTGGGTCTTTTGGTAAGGGAGTCGGACAGCTAACCTGCCCGGACTTCTTCAGCCAGTCCTGTCAAAGGTAGGGGAGTTTAGATCCCGCATAGAGTCAGACTATGAAAGATAAGAGCCCCGTAAAGGGTATAATAGCTTACCTCGTTGGCCCGACGCCGCTTGCTGAATCCGCGATCTTCGGTAGCGGATGCGGGGGCCTCGGCGCCCTTGAACAGCACCTCCCAGGCATCCTCGTACGTGGTGTTGAAGAGCCCGCTCAAGGCTTGGTGCTGTGCCGGATCGAACTCCCACAATTTGAAGGCCCGTTGTTGGCATGGGAGGATTCGGCGGATAAGCATGACCTGGACTATGTTGACAAGCTTGAGATTCTTGTTCACCAGCTTTTGGACGCAGGTTTGGAGTCCGGTCAGCTCTTTCGAGTCTCCCCATGTTAGGCCCGTCTCTTTCCAGGAGGTGAGCCGTCTGGGAAAGCCGGGTCGGAATTCGGGGGCCGCTGCCCATTTGGGGTCGAGCGGCTCGGTGATGTAGAACCACCCCGATTGCCACCCTTTAATTGTCTCCACAAAGGAGCCCTCGAGCCATAGGACGTTGGCCATCCGGCCCACCATGGCACCTCCGCACTCCGCTTGGCGGCCGCCCACTACTTTCGGCTTGACACTAAAAGTCTTCAGCCATAAGACGAAGTGGGGCTGGATGTAGAGAAGGCCTCGCACACGACGATAAACGCCAAGATGTTGAGGACGAAGTTCGGGGCCAGATCGTGGAAGTCCAGGCCGTAGTAGAACATGATCCCCCGGACGAACGGGTGAAGAGGAAAGCCCAGTCCGCGGAGGAAATGGGGGAGGAAAACAACCCTCTCATGGGGCCTGGGGGTGGGGATGAGTTGCCCCACATCTGGAAGCCGGTGCGCGACGTCGTCAGACAGGTATCCGGCATCCCTCAGCTTTTTGATTTGCCCCTCCGTGACGGAGGAGGCCATCCATCTACCTCCCGCTCCGAACATGATTGGAGAAGGTTGAGGTAGGAAGTGCGGGCTTGGGCGTTGGAGCTCGAGTGCGCAGGGATGAATAGGCAAAGGAGGAAGAAGGCGTAAATGGAAAGGGTAGAATCTTATCCCCTTATATGGGCGGCCGAAACTACGAGCCCCCATCGGCCTAATAAAACTCGCTTATCCCCCAAGCGCCACGGTTAATGGCGCGGTTGGGTTACCCACGCCCGTATTGATGAGAATCCCAGAATAAGGGGACATGATCTCTGCTTCGACAAGACGTGCCAAGGAGACCGCCTCGCTAAACACGCTGAGGTGGAAACAGTAAAACGATTTGAATAAAGGCTTGACCGTGGCATGATGTCACGCTACGGAATACGTCAGCAGATTAGGTTTGTGCAGATATTATTCTCTCTACGGTGGTATGTGGAACTTATTTTTGCAGAGCCGGACACTATCCTTGTGTTCAACATCTTCTATGAAGTATTCGGAGGAGGAACCCGCCTTGCAATGCCGAAGACAATTTGCGCGCTGGACTCGTCGTCATTGAAGCCAGGTTCAGGGGCTACTGAGGGAGTCCTGGATTAGGGGGTGTCCGGATGGCCGGACTATGACCTTTGGCCGGACTCCCGGACTATGAAGATACAAGATTGAAGACTTCGTCCCGTGTCCGGATAGGGACTTTCCTTGGCGTGAAAGGCAAGCTTGGTGATACGACATGAAGATCTCCTCCCATTGTAACCGACTCTGTGTAACCCTTGCCCTCTCCGATGTCTATATAAACCGGAGAGTTTTAGTCCGTAGGACGAACAACAATCATACCATAGGCTAGCTTCTAGGGTTTAGCCTCTCTGATCTCGTGGTAGATCAACTCTTGTACTACCCATATCATCAAGATTAATCAAGCAGGAGTAGGGATTTACCTCCACCGAGAGGGCCCGAACCTGGGTAAAAACATCGTGTCTCTTATCTCCTGTTACCATCCGCCTAGACGCACACTTCGGGACCCCCTACCCGAGATCCGCCGGTTTTGACACCGACATCGGGAGTTACTGGTAACGCCACAAATAAAGTGCTATGATGACCATAAAAGCTACTTAGTGACCAACCATTTGCGTGCGGAGTGACTTTAGATCTCCTGGCTGTCGAGTGGTTGGCTTCATGGTCGAGTGTCTTCGAGTCCGTCGAGTGGAACACTTCTGAGTCGATTGACAGGTGGTTTCTTCAAGAGATGTCCTTGGGGGGGGGGGGTAGTTTGGACAGGTCCGTGACCCTACCCTAGGTACATAGCTTCATCAAGCGGTCCACACAACTTCACTATGAGAATGATAAGTACAAAATCTTCTTTAGAATCTCTAGAGAGATTTACAATACACTCTCTATGTTGCCAACTGACAACAACAACAACAACAACAACAATCATAGGAGGCAAGATTTCAGGAAAGTAGACTTTACACAGCTTCTGGCCCCTATATATATTTTGCAAACTGCTCTTAAACCGCCGAACCAAACAACACCAAAATTGACAGACAAGTAGACACACGAGATCCCGAGTTCCCCTCAAAAGTTTAGCTCATCGAACACCGTTTTCCTATCCAATCTGTTCGTCTCCCAAAACTACTACTCCCTCCATCCGAAATACTTGTCCTGAAAATGATTGTATTTAGACTTATTTTAGTTATAGATACATCCATTTATCCATTTCTAGGACAAGTATTTTTGGACAGAGGGAGTATGTTCTAAACTGCAGGAGTATAAGCTGACAAAACCACTTCAAAATCGGATGTTCCACTAGCTCAATCGTCAGACCAGCTAACCAAATTGAAGTACTCAAAGTAGGGAATGAGCATACCAAGTCCGGGGTCAATCCAAGCACACAACAGATCTGGACAGAACCTCCTCTTCTTATTCTCTCTCTCTCTCTTAGGTTGTGTTTCTCCCTTATGTGCGCTCACTCTAGCAAGCTCACAATGGCAGCCACTACCAGCAGGGGTGAAGTGGCTAAGGTTTTCTTCTGTACTTGGAAGCACTCTCAATCATTGGATGCAGCTGCGATCAACGATTCACATGTGTTTGGACTTGCATGGGCCGTGGGTTGATGATGGGCACACACGGTGTTAGAGTATCTTCAACCACGTACTTCTAATTTGATCCCTCAAACGCTCGCGGACGCGCCCGGTCAGACCAGGCGTGTCCGTTTTGAGCTCCTATTTTTTTGTCCGCGCACCACACTTCTCATATTTTTCTCATATATCCGGTCACTTGCACGCGATTGGTGAATAAGAAGAGAAAGAAAGAAAAGAATGAATAAAGAAAGAGAAAACGTGATCCGGGCTGGGGTCGTGTCATACGTGGCGGACTGATCGGCGTGCCCGGATGCGTTCGTGAGTCCTCATATTTGAGATGGATATGAGGGGTGCCGGTCAGTCCGGACGTTTGAGACGGATATAAAGGGTTTGATTGGGTCCCGTTTTTATGACCGGTCACTGATCGGACAACGTGCTGGGGTGTTTGAGATGAATAGGAAAGGGTACTGGATTGGAGAGACACCCGGTGAGGTGGCGTGATGACGTGGAGCTCATGCAGCCAGCAGAGTCCACACGCCATATCTATCTTCCGTACAACATAGAAAGAAAAACAGAGCACTCGTACTACTGCTACTCCACGGACGCCCGCTGGACACAGCCACCTCCCGCACGCCCCTACCCCCACCACCCGTCCGATCCCCCCCACGCGCGAGCCCGGCCGTCCGATCGCCACGCGCGGGGCCCGCGCGGGCGCCGCTTGCCTCCCCCGGAAGCAAGCCGGGCTCCGTCTCCGATAGAAAAAGAGTTGGGAGTCAACAGCCAAAAAGAAAAAAACCTGGAAGCGGGCGGCGGAGAACAGGGAAAAATTGGAGTGGGGAGGAGAAGGGGAGAGCAGAGAAGCTTGGCCGGCGGCGATGGGCGGCGAGTGGTGGAGGAAGAAGTGGGTGGCGTGGGCGGCGGCGGCGGGCATCTTCGTGGTGCTCATGCTCGTCACGCCCGCCATCCCGCAGGACGAGGACTACCACGACTTCGCCGACCAGCGCGTCCTCTTCCTCGGTATAACCAACCAACCAACCCTCACCCCCGCTCCCCGCACCACGCATCGCCTCCCCTGAATCTTCGCCCCCGAGCCATGCTCTGCCCCTGCCTCCCCCAGGGCGGGAGGATTTGGGGGCGCTGCCGCAGATTCTGCTATTTTTAGCCCCTCAGATTCGTGATCTGCCGAGTCCAGCGGACAGGATTAGAGCTGGATCGGTGAAATTGGGGAGCGAGTGAGGCGCTGGTTTGGCTGAGTCATGCTCCCTTGGCCTGCTTTTTTTGTTACTGGCACACCAAGCAAATGCTTCCGATTGGTCGGCGTTATGCCTGCTGCTTTGATTGATTATATCAGCTAAATTGGCTGCTGACGCGCTTGCTTGGCCGCTCTGCATACCTGATGAAGGGTCATAACTAATGATGGAAGAGGCCAGATTCTGCTGTTTGTTCTCTTAGGTTGGTGATTCATGGAATAAAGTTGCCAAGGGGGGGATTTGGGAGCAAATGAGGTGTGGATTTGGCTAAAATTAGGCTCCATCCATATGTTGATTTGGTTATCAGTACAGACTACAGAGGGAATGCTTCTGATTTCCAGCACTATCTGTTGCTTTGGTTATATTAGCTGTGTGGTGCCTACGAATCCTGCTGTTTTTAGCCATTTAGATTTGTGATTTAGCGAGACCAGCGGACACGGTTGAGCTGAGAGGAGGCGAATTTGGGGAGCGAGTCAATCGTAGGTTCGGCTAAATTACTTTTTGCTTACTACACGAAGGGAATGCTTCTGATTGGTCAGCATTGTATGCTTTGCTTTGATTGTATCAACTAATTTGGCTGCTAACGCGAGTTCTTGGGCACTCTGCATACTTGTTAAATGATAGTAACGAACAATGGCACAGACCACCAGCAAAATAATGTGGGGAAATAGCTTGGCACTCATCGATACTGTTTTGTTTTTTTCTGTTTTGCAGGGATCCCTAACACATTGAATGTGATCTCAAATATCCCCTTCCTCTTTGTCGGTCTCGCGGGGCTCATCCTGTGCCACTACAAAAACTACTTCAGGCTATGGTGCAGACTCGATGCTCTTACCAATTTTGGTTCCTGTTCTGACTCAAATTGAGATTTGAAGCACTCTGATGTTGATCCTGCTGGCAGCTCACAGGGGGAGCTCTGGAGTTGGACACTCTTCTATGCTGGTGTCACTGCTGTCGGTGTTGGTTCATCCTACTACCATCTCTACCCAAACGATGCCACCTTAGTTTGGGACAGATTGCCTGTGAGTCTTTCCTAGATCTTCTGTGCCATAGATCTAACATTCAGCATCATGATATTTACATCATCATCCTCTCTAATGTATAGTCCCTAGCTTGGTACCATGACATGTACACAGTGTATAGTTCCCAGACCCTAGGAGTTGCTCCTTCTTGATTTTAAATATTTCGAGCTCTGACATATGGGCCTGTTTGTCTAGATGACGATTGCTTTCACGTCTATCGTGGCCATTTTCATCATTGAAAGGGTTGATGATAGGGCAGGAACAAAGTCCCTTGCACCCCTTGTTATTGCTGGTGCACTGAGCATCCTGTACTGGAGGTAGGCAAGATCTTTCGATTGTTTATCTGTACTTCTCTCAGAAATATTTCCTTCCCTTAACTTAACTTTCTTCTCTATTATGTAGTTTCTTTGATGATCTTCGGCCATATGCAATAATCCAGTTCGTTCCATGCATTGTAATACCTGTGATGGCTATAGTTATTCCACCAATGTATACACACTCAAGCTACTGGTTGTGGGCAGCAGGTTAGTACTATTGTCGCTCAATATCACCAGGGTGTATGCAGTTCCACCATTATTTGTGTAGATAGCTATATGTGATTTGCGTTAATGTACGTGGTTATTTCACAGTTGGTTTTCTCACAGCATAAGAACTGGTGATACGTTTTTCTTTTTGCAGTCTGTACTCACGATGCTTGGCTATAAACCATAGTTACCTTGAAATTCATAGAAAACTCACTAAAAGTTCTAATGTTCCGCTTCTTAAGTTCTTATTCTCTCAATACCATTGACCGGTGCCAAGATGATTCTATTTCCCCAGTCTGTCTGTTGTTACCTAGAAATTTATAAAACAGTCAACAGTCCAACTAATATAAATGTGTATGAACTGTTGTTTTCCTGTTGTTGGCCTTTGATGAAGTTGCTACAAGAATGAGTTATGCAGAAGCATTTATTTAAGCGCAATTTAAACATAGGCCACTGCAAGCATTTCTTGTACACGCATTTTTTTGCGAGGGTTTTCTAAGCGCAAAGATACTTCTGTTCTGATATTTCAAATTGATTTCAGGATTTTACCTTCTTGCCAAAGTAGAAGAGGCTGCGGACAAACCTATATATAGGTGGATACATGACATTGTTAGCGGACATACTCTTAAGCATCTATGTGCTGCGATGGTACCTGTTTTCTTGACTCTGATGTTGGCAAAGAGGACAATTGAACCTGACAGGTATAATGCTTACTCAATGCATCGCTTGAGTCTATTTTTCTAATAGTTTTAGTTCGATTAAACCACTTAATCTGATGTTGGTATTGCTCGCTCTGCTTTGACCATACAAATACACCAAATGTTACCAAATAGCAATAATATTGCCATTCCATTGCTTTACCAAAATTTTGATGTTTTCACTCTTTGTGAGGTTGGTTTTTGTTCACTTTGGTTACTAGAATGATATTAGAATAAGACATCTGCAGTTAAATTGTTGGTGTTTATAACATGAACCAAAACATGCATGGGTAGTTCTTAGCAAACTTTTCATGATGTGCTTCTGTTTATTCAAACTAATAATAGTACTCCCTCCGTAAACTAATATAAGAGCGTTTAGAATACTAAAGTAGTGATCTAAACACTCTTATATTAGTTTACAGAGGGAGTACTGGTTTGCTTCCAGAAATCAATGCTCGCATTCATCATGTGTATATAGTTTTGACAACAATGTCACCACATTGAATAGGCCTTGGATCTATGTATCCATGTGACTAATGTTTTCTCCTCTGTCATGCAGGGTAAGCTTACTCCAGATGTGGAAGATCAGTTGGAGAGAACGCGGTTCCAAAGATAGCAACACTGTAGATGTCAAATATGGTTATGCTGCAGTTTCAACTACGTCTGAACAACAGTAGATGCGTGTTTTTCATATGTACCCCTGAAATGTAAAAATAGCATCAATATGAATATCAGGAGCCCCAGTGTGCATGGTTGTGTATTATTGCCTGCTAATCGATGTTCGTATGTGGTTGTTACTGACCAAATCTTGTACAGGGAGGAAAAAATGATATCAGTGGCCTTATCAACTCTTTGTGCTAGTTTTTGGGAACATCCAATGGCCTATACCTCCTGCACCTGGAAAGACTGTACCCTATGTAAATCGACCTGGATCTATTCAGACTCCACCCGCTTCAGTTGTTGCTGCTCTTCAGAGTTCATTAAGCTGCATGCTATGGGCTCGAGACCTTCTGTGCGTGCAAGATAATTTATTGGCTTGCCTGTCTAAGTGATGGATTGAGTTCAGGTTTCTTACTCTTTCAAATAAAAAGTTCAGGTTTTCATTGTAGAATGAGGAGGGGTTAATGCATCGTCGATTTGGGATACAGGGGCTAGAGGCGGGAGCTCTGGACCCAGATTCCCCGCGTTTTATCATGCAATTGTTGCCATGGATTGGGAACTCTAGATTTTGATTTCAGGTTCCTGTGTTTTCTTTTTGATAGAGGCCTATGGCTGATTCCACCAGTAAAAATGACATTTTTGCGGAACACAATAAGCATGATCTGCCATGCCATAGTAAGGCAAATGATCATGGCGATATGATGACCTGATGATTTCTTTGGTAGGGGGAATCGAGACTATATATGTGCAAGAGGCAGTTTTCCCACCACCGCACAATGCATATATGGTGTTGGCTGGGTGAAACGGTCCATGCTCCATGCTCTTTATTTCTGAGATATTAGAGTAAACCAATAGAAAACTCATATTTTGCTTCAACGAATTTGTGAGCCAATAGAGGGACCCGCTCCTGGTTCTTGTTGAGCCAGGATGGGAGGAGAGCCAATAGAGGGATTTCCCGTTGAACCAACATGGGAGGAGTGCTAGGACCGGAACAATTAGAAGGAATTGATCAAAGAACCGACGAGGGATTTGTCAGATTTTGGTGTAAAATACGGGATAGTTGAGAAGATAATCGCCTCTACTTTTGGTGAATTCTTTCTTTCTATTTACAATGGGCACGACATATATAGCCGGGTCGATTCAGTGATTACCGAGAGTAAAACATGAGGTAACTAAAGCAATAAGCCAAGTAACAGCAGCCATTGGATTGGATCTTGCCATGGTTGGATAACCGACTGTGCCCTTCACTTGTGTTGCTCTGATTTGTCTGGTTATTTCAAAGTCGATTTTGTCACAGCATACAAAACTGGTGATACCTTTTTCTTTTGACAGTTTGTACTCATGATGCTTGGTTATAAACCGTAGTTACCTTGAAATTTATAGAAAACTCACTAGAAGTTGTACCGTTCCCCTTCTTAAGTTTTTATTCTCTCAATACCATTGACCGGTACCAAGATGATTCTGTTTCCCCAGTCATGTCTGCTGTTATCTAGAAATTTATCAAGTAGTCAACAATCCAATTAATATAAATGTATCTGAACTTCTCCTTTTTGTTTGTTGATGAAATTGCTACAAGAATGAGTTATGCAGAAGCATTTATTTAAGCACAGTTTAAAGAATAGGCCATTGCTAAATCATTTTGTCTAAGCGCAATTTCTCACGAGTGTTTTCTAAGCGCAAAGTTATATTGTCTGGATACTTTTGTTCTGATTTTTCAAATTGATTTCAGGATTTTACCTTCTTGCCAAAGTAGAAGAGTCTACGGACAAACCTATACATAGGTGGACACATGACATTGTTAGCGGACGTACTCTTAAGCATCTATGTGCTGCGATGGTACCTGTTTTCTTGACTCTGATGTTGGCAAAGAGGACAATTGAACCTGACAGGTGTGCATCAGCTTACTCAATGCATTGCTTGAGTCTATTTTTGTAGAGTTATAGTTTGATTGAACCACTTTAAATCTGATGGTAGTATTGCTAGTTCTGCTTGGAGCAATACAAATACACCAAAATTTATGCGACAATATCATGGATTCCCATTCCACTGATGCTAAAATTGTGATGTTTTCGCTCTTTATGAGGTTTATCTTTGTTCACTTTGATTAATAGAATGATAACAGAATAAGACATCACCAGATTCATCATGTGTACGTAGTTTTGACAACAACATCACCACACTGAATAGGCCTTGCATCTATGTGTCCATGTGAGTAATATTTTTCCTCTGTCATGCAGGGTAAGCTTACTCCAGATGTGGAAGATCAGTTGGAGAAAATGTGGTTCCCAAGATAGTAACAATGTAGATGTTAAATATGATTATGCTGCAGTTTCAACTACGTCTGAACAACAGTAGATATGTGTTCTTCGTATGTACCCCTGAAGTGTAAAAATAGCATCAATCTGAATATACGGAGTTTGTACAGTTGTGTGTTATTGACTGCTAATCGATGTTTGTATGTGGTTGTTCCTGATCAAATCTTATACACGAAGGAAAAATGTCTATCAGCGGCCTCATCAACTCTTTGTGCTTTAGATTTTGTTAACCTCCAATGGCCTATACCTCGAACTGCACCTGGAAAGACCCGAGCCTATGTAACTGGATGGGGTCTACCGTGGCTGCACCCGCTTCAGTTGTTACTACTCTTCGGAGTCCATTAAGCTGCATGCTACTCGCTCGATGACTTCCCTGTGTGCAAGATCATATATTGTTTTGCCTGCCTAAGTGATGGATTGAGTTCAGGTTTCTTAATCTTTCAAAAAAGAAGAAAAGAGTTCATGTTTTCAGCACAGAATGAGGGGTTAATGCATCGTCGTTTTGTGATACAGGGGCACATAACTGTTGCCATGGATAGAGATTCTGATTTCAGGTTCCCATGTTTTTTTTTGAATGAGGTGTACGGCTGATTGCAGTAGTGAAAATGGCATTTTTGCTAAACACAATAAGCATGATGTTCCGCCATGCCATAGTAATGCAAATGGTCATGGAAATATGATGACCTGATGATTTCTTTTGTAGCAGGGGAATAACACTATATATACGCAAGCTGCAGTATTCCCACCACCACACAATTCATACATGGTGTTGGATGAGTGAAACTGTCAAAACTCCATGGTTTTGTTTCCGAGATATTAGAGTAAACCAATAGAAAAAGCATATTTTGCTTCACCCAATTTGTGAGCCAATAGACGGACCTGCCCTACTCCTGTTGAACCAGCATGGGAGGAGAGCCCATAGAGGCCTACTCCTGCTGAACCAGCATGGGAGGAGAGCCCATAGAGGCAGCTCCCATTGAACCAGTACGGAAGGAGTGCTGGGACTGGAACAATTGGAAGGAATTGATCAAAAAACCGATGAGGGATTTGTCATATTTTGGTGTAAAATGTAGGATACATGAGAAGATAATCGCCTCTACTTCTAATTAATCCAAGTAATTTTTGGCGAATTCTTTATTCACGATGGTTATGACATATATAGCCGGATCGGTTCAGCGATTACTGAGAGTAAAACATGAGGTAAATGGCCTAAGCAAAGCCCCCTGGTTGAACTAAATTACAGTAAACAGTAACTATAGAAATAAGACAAGTAACAGCAGCCATTGGATTCTGATGGATAACTAAGGGATATATGTTAAGATATCTCTCCTGCTAGAACCTGACAAGGAGTCCATCAGAAAGAAGTATCCTAAGAGCCCATCAGGAATTTGTAAGATTAGAAAGACTCCAATTGTATATAAGGAAGTCGAATCGTATTAGGAGAATGGGAAAGGCAAAGGCCTCAAGGGCCTAAGCATCCAATATATAAGGATGGCATGTGGCCATGCATTTTTTTTCCCAAGTTGTTCTCTCATCTAAACATATGTCTATGTCTCAAAAATAAAATCAAAACCTATGTCTGCACAATTCCTTCGGGCCATGCATTTTGTTGGATCAAGGTTCACAATAGTTAGTATTAGAGCCAATCCCATGGCTTTCGCTGCTGCTGACAAGATGTCGCGGAGGATACTCCACGTCACGACTCATCTTTGATCCTCATGGAGAACCTTGAAATTTTCCCAGGAAGATTTATGGTCGTGGCCTTCATCTGATTTTGTTTAGACGAGCTTTTGGCAGTTTGCAGGGCCGGCCATGTACCATGTTCAGTTCATTAGGTGCAACCGTGCAAGTGCAGTCCACGATGATCGACACAAGAATATGCAGTAGTGGAAAAGGCACCCGAGCAGGAAGCAGTAGCAAAAGCATGAGAAGAAGCAGAGGTAGCCAAGCTTGACAGCAGCAACAACCGACGCAGATAGAGGATCGACGACAAAAAGCAACCAGGCGCAACAACCAGCGGTGGTGGCACAACCAAGCACAACAACAGCAGATGCACAACTAGGACAACACGGACGACGCACATGCATGGTCGCTTCGCAGGTCTGGTGTTGTATGTGCCTCGTTGCGAATCACTGACAACTATCAACAACAATGTATGCCACCGCCAAAAATAAAACAAACAATACTGTACACAGTATAATCCTTTCGTATTGTTTAATGTGACAAAAACGGTGGGGTATTGTTTTTTCGTACATACTAATGGCGCATGATGTGAAAGTGCACCATTACTAGTTCTAACTTATAATGGCGCACCTTATAGACAGTGCGCCATTAGTATATTTTTTTTTTACTTTTTTGCAAAACTACTAATGGCGCACTATGTAAAAGTGCGCCATTACTAGTTTAAACTACTAATGGCGTACTTTTGCACAGTGCGCCATTAGTATATTTTTTTTTACTATTCTGCAAAAACTACTAATGGCGCACCATCCGCAGGTGCGCCATTAGTAACCAGGGTTACTAATGGCGCATTTACTTGTGGTGCGCCATTAGTAACCTGGGACCAACAAGATATTTTGGACAGCCCACCTACCCACTCATTTTCCCCACTTCATTCTCTCCACCTCCTCCTCCAAGCTTGTCTCGGCTGCCTCCTCCTCCTCACCTCATTTCCACCATAGATTCATCAAAATTAAGTGGTG